CAGATGTTCATCTGGAAAATATCAGATGTAGACAAAACATGACTGGGAATTTTACATTTATGTGTGGTTTAGAACCAAAATAGCTTCTATAGTTTGACAAATATTAAGATCTTTCGAAAGTAATGTAACATTTCTAGAAGTGTGAGTAAAAATTTGTTTGTCAAGAATATATTCATTATTTGTCATGACTTAGAATTCTGCTTGTTCTGGCAATACCTCATAAATAATAGACGATTCTGTTTTGATCGTGAGGAAAGATGGAAAAGACATATCAGAGATGCTGTTTAGTTTCAGTTAGAAAAAAGAAAAAGATGGAGAAGTTATGTGTTTAACATTTGCTTTAGTTAAATGAAAAGACTTGTCATGTTCAAATCATTATATTTGTACTGTTTTACTTTAAGTAATGACCTGTATTCATATTGATGATTGTTATTGCAATATTTAAAGTTGTTAAGCTCAAATATTTAATGAGGCAATAATGAAATTTCCACCACTGTTTTAGATAGCAAGTTTGCAAAGAACTTAGTCAATCATTAACTTACGAATTAAGATTCATCAGAAAATACAAATAGGAAAACTGAAATTTCATGGGTATTTCTAGTTTTTTTTTAATTCTTTGTGGTAAAGAATTCATTATAAGAAATTTACTTTTAAATGTTTTTCTACTAAAAATTATGTCAGTGATTTAATTAAAATGCAAATCAAAATGTGTTGAAATGATTGTGGAAGTATTAAAAAATCCCAATCAGTAAATATTCTAGGTTGATCTTACCAAAGTTAGAAACTAGTATTGTTATTCATAAAAAAAATATATTTTTCATTGAAGAAATCAAAATATTTTTTTATAAATGTTTACATAACACAACGGTTATCTGCATGGAAACTTGAATTCAAATTCTGTCAGTTTGTTTCATTCACTTTCATAAAAATACCTTTGGGAAAAATATAAATCCATCTTTTCACCTACCCCTCAAACTATGGATTAAATAGACAGACGGGGCTCTCTAGCCTTGATTGGCAACCAGTCTAAGAGAAGGATTACTGAATTTAAAACTGGTTGGGCTGGAATTGGTATACCAAGTTCAAATTCTGTCCAAGTTTGTTGCATTCACTTTCACACAAATCTCTTCTTCCCCCCAACTATAGCAACTCCACCCAGTAAAAACCTACTCACTACAGAATCCACAGCAGCAACACTTGGTGCGGTGAGGCTGTGTCCCTAGACTTCACAAGTGAGTTTAATGGCACTAAGAAGGAGGAAGTTTAGTTTTCACTCATTCACCCACTTTTCTATCTTATTATTTCATAAGTTTGTAACAGACAAATCTTACCATGTTCTCATCATTTTCTTCTCAACAAGATGTAATTCACTTCTGAGATAAATGATTAGAACAAATTTTCTCATCTTTAAACCAATATGTTCTTTGACCTTTTCCAGGCGGAAAATTTAGGCCAGTAAGATTACTTACTAGATAGTTGTAAATTTTCATGAACAAATCCAATACAAAATTTACTGCCACATGTGTGCCAATGTCAGAGTGAGTGTGTGTGTGTGTGTGAGAGAGAAGTGTACTGAAAGAAATTGGTAAATGTGCTGATATCACATGTAGCGTGACCATTTTTTTAAAAGCCTATTTCAGGAATTACTGCTGCCTGTATGATTTTCAGAAACCCAAGTCTAAAACCAAGTGGTCAAAAGAAAACTCCAGCAGATGAATTTTACAACTGAACAACAGTTTAGAGAATATCACTAGAAATGTAATAAAAACAACAAGAATAAAGATATTAGAATAAAGATAATGACTTCTCAGAATTTCAGACAATGAAGAAACTGAAGAATACATTAAACAGTAGTGATAAAAACAACAATGAAGATAGTAATTTGAAAAATTACAAGTTATATAGAATTGATAAAACAAATTGAATGTTTTGTTTTTTGTCTATGTTTCTGAAATGATGTGTTATAATTATTTGTATTTTTTATACTCCAGCTACTGTCCTTATCTTTTTATTATCACAATGTTTCAGCTTTTTCAGGTAATTTCACATTGAAACCTTTATTTAATCTATGAGAGTAAATTGTTCTCGTTTCGCTGTTTTTTGCTTATTTAGGGGAAATCAAGCAAGTAATAAATAAGCTGTATGAAAATATGAACAAGATGCCTCCTGAAATGAGCAGAAAAAGAGAACAATCTACCCCCACAGATTAAATAAAGGGTTCACTTCAACATTTCCTGAGACAATATATAAATGTATTTTTATTTTTGTTGCTTTATAATATTTAATTTTAAAAGTTCAGTTGACAGATTTTTATACATTTGAATTTTTAGACTTCTCTTTAAAAAAAAAAAAATTCTGGCTGTCTCCATTTTTGTTTTAAAGCAGATTCAAATTTTTCATTCAAAAAATTCTGTTAAAAAGAATTAATATAACACTTACATTAATAATTGTAAAATTATAAATCCAATAAAATGGTCTTGCTGTGGACATTGTTAACATTACCATGAGGAAAATCCAAAGGCCATGTTTTTCTGTAAAAAAAAAAAAGGAAGTCACATTTATCAAGCTTTTTTTGTTTATACAGCAAAAATTTATCAAAACATCTTCAGACTTTGAGAAATGACTTTCAACATTTAATATTAGAAAAAGCTCCAATTCTTTGAGTATCACAAAAATGAAACAAGGAAAATATTTAATAGCCAAGCAAAATGAATCAAAAAGTCAAGTCATTAGAGTCACTTGACTTTATTGAAGATTTATGTATAAAATTAAGATATTTAAAATTAAAATATACATTGATTCAAATAGACATGATTTTTTATTTGAGGTTAAATTTTATCTTGAAAAATGAAAATAAATGTCAGTGTATGATTTGATATTTAATGAAAGTCCAGTGGATTGTGTCGTGGATTGAGGAATTGGAGAATAAAGTTCTAATTTCAGTTGAGTTCATTACGTTAACTTACATGCAAATAAATACCTTTGGAAAAAGTATAAATCCATCCGTTTCTTATGGATAAATATGAAGACAGACATGGGTGGCAAGTGATCTAGGAGAAGGATTAGCTCTGAATTTGAAACCTCTAACTATGGGTAAATAGTAGAGCTATTCAGCCTTAGTTGGCAACCAGTCTAGGAGAAGGACAAGCTCTGCGTTCAAAACCATATGATGCCCTGACAAAGAACATTATTATGCAGCTAATGATAGAATTGTGGAGTTTACAATGGCTGTGATCGTTGGTCAAACATGATGATGATGATTATGATGATGACATTTAATGAAATTCTGACAATATTTATTAAATACAAATTAAATAAATTCACAAGTTTCTCAGGAAAAAATGTTAACAGATTGAATATTTTACATAATAAATTACCCTAAATTAAAATTATTCATTTGGAAAAAAAAAGAAAATAATTTTATACTTAGAAATATCAAAAATTAAAATAAAATAAAAATAGTTGTGAGTTCTCATCCTCAACAACATTACAGTTCTGTTTATTAGGTAAACAAAATAAAACAAAAAAAAACTGTCCAAAGTCAGTGGCAAAACTACATTTTTGTGACCCTGAAGCTTGGACAATAACAATACAACCAGCAACAAAAAATTCAAGGAACCAATATCCAAATAAATAGATTCTGTTGAGCTCAACGAGTCCATACATCTGTAGGCTTAAGCACTGCAAGCCTTTAAGAAAAATTTTGAAATTTGACTAATTACAAGGAAATTTTGAGGCTATATGAAATGGTTATTACAGCATATTCTAAGGCCAATGACCCTACAATACTTGTACAGTCAACAAAATCAAAAACAATGCACATGGGCAAAATTAAAAAATAATTATATGATGGCGACAATTTACCCATCGCACACTGTACTAAAGTTTGATTTGACCTCCTCGAAACTTTAACTTCATTTCTCATTCTCCTTTTTGTAACATGTCCTTTTGTTATATTAATACTTGTTTCTTTAAATTTCATGTTTTTACTTATTTTTGCCTGGCTTCACATATTGTCTGTGGGTCAAATGTACTAGGAGCCATTAAACATTTACTGAAAATTATCCCCCCCCCCCACCATGCAACAAAAGTGGCAAGTCCTGCAACAAAACTAAAGTTGTCTTGAAGTCGGAGATGCATTCTTCATTCAGTAAAGTATTTACTATTTATTCTTTTATTGAAGTATAAAGACTAGTAAACCATCTTTAATATCTCAAGTTTAAGACTTTGTCAAAGAAGTAAAAGTACTTCTTATAAAAAATACTTGTAGGTAATAAATATTTAATGAAACACTGAATCACATGACTGATTTTATTAATATTCCAAAGTTCCCATCCACAAAATATAACTAGAGTTGATTATTTGGGATTATTGGTCACTTTGAAGACTTAAAATAACAACTTTTATTTTGACTGGATGGGTAAAGTAGTTTGAATTCCAGTTATATTCACTTACATGCAAATACTTTTGAAAAAGGCATGAACCCATCTTTTCTCTTTCCTGCTTGGGTTAAATAGCAGGACAAGCTGGATTCTATAGCCTTGGTTGGCAACCAGTCTACTGCAGAAAAAATGGCAAACTACTATAGGAAAATATGCCTAGTCAGTCATGAAATGAAAGAAACATGATCACCCAAGTTTATATCATGTATGGCACTTAACTGAGGTAAAGTAGATGGGGGGGCAGTTGTATGCACTCAGTCATACACTCTTCTTCAGCAATCACTGTGATATGCCAGTGAAAAAATATTTTATTGAAATACAACTGAATAGCATGGAAAAAATTGTATTCTTGCCTTTCCCTAAATGATTAGTTCAAAATTAACAACAAGCACCCTCAGCTGAAATTTAAACTTTTTTTTTTATCAGTTCTGTTTTCTATGCTGGTAACCATTTGGCTCCTCAAAAGAAGAGTTGGTAGCAGGGTATGGAGAAAGATCTCCAACTGGGAACAGGAATGAGAAGGAGCCCAAAGAGCAGAGAAGGTGTTTTTTTTTAAGTTCAAAGTGGGGAGGAGATGTGTGAGAAAGAGCACAAAGTGTGGAAGAGAGGAAGGAGAGAGAGTGCAAAGTGGGGGTGGAGGAGAAGGGGAGAGAGAGAGCAAGGTGGGGAGGAGAGGAGGAAGAAAGAACCCAAGTAGGTAAGCAAGTGAGAGAGACTCAAAGTAGGGAAGAGCGGAGTGAGAGAGAACCCAAAGAGGGGGAGGAGAAGTATGAGAGGGAGCACAAAATGTAGAAGAGAGAAAGGTGAGAGAGTGCAAAATGGGGAGAAGACAGAGTGCAAAGTGGGGAGGAGAAGAAGGAGGGAGAGAGATAGAGAGAGCAAGGTTAGGAGGAGAGAAGAAAGAAAGAACCCAAATGGGGAAGAAAGGAAGTGAGAGAGACCCAAAGTAAGGAGAAATTTTAAGTTCAAATTGGGGAGGAGAAGAGCACAAGCTGGGGAGGAGGAAGAAAGAACCCAAGGTGGGAAAAAACAGAAAGAGAGAGAGAGAGAGAGCAAAAAAAACGAACAAACTGAGGAACAGGTGATAAAAAGAAACCTAATTAGTGAATGTGGCTAAATTGTTTAAGCAATTTAGCCACATTCGCTAATTAGGTTTCTTTTTATTGTCCATGGAAAAAAGAGATGGGTTATAGGTTCAAGCCTCATTGCATGCTACTTTTTTTTATTTTTTACTTTCCAGATTTTACTTTAATAATTTTCAACCAAGGAAATGGTAATAAAAAGCAACAATAGAACATAAAAAGTTTCATAAGTCTTCTCGTTGTCTGTCTAAACTTCCAGTAACAAAGCTATTACATGAGGAAAAAATGTATTTTCTAGCAAAAATTAAAAACTCAACTTAGTGATCACAAAAGGCTTTTCTATCTCCTTAAGTTTAGACAAATTGTGACGTCCCCCGGTGTCGCTGTGCCAAATGTGACGTCTGCCTGACCGCGCCGCCATGCTGTCCTAGTCACGTCACCAATTGTGACATCACCCTGTCTGTCTCCATGCCGTCGCCGTCCTATCCTGTCCTGTGACAACCAATGTGACTTGGTATCGGTCGTGGCACCAAATGTGACGTTCTAACCTTTTGCTGATTCGGATGGGAATCTGGTTAGATTCGGTATCAGCCTTGTCATTCCCAGCTCGCCTCCAACGTCTGGTTACCGAAGTAACTGCTTTGATTTCTAGTCTAACCTACCCACGTTGTGATTTGATCTTAGGTAGACAAAATCAATCAGTCGCCGGGCTGTAATGCAAGCCGAGTCCGAACAAGGGTAATACCGCACAAGTATATGTAAAAGAAAATAAAGTAATAACTTGAAAAGTTCAAATGTGTTAAAAAAAGATAACAATATTTTATATCTGGTCGCTGAATACAGGACTGTGTCTTCCTCCCAACCCGCTATATGGATTCGTGACACTTTGTGTTTGTTATGCGAGTCTTAACATCTTAAGTTGTTTGTTCTTTAAGAAACTGGTTCTTGGTGTATCTTCAGGCGATATTCATAAAACTTGTTTTGGTGGTGTGAGTCTAAGTCGTTCTTCAAAAATAAATTGTCCTTGGTTAGAAGATGAGGTCGAGAATGCGCGAATCTTAGTCAGCTTTCTGCGAGGCGGGTCCTCAGAGCTCTCAGCTCACTGCAACTGCTTGCCTCTCTGTCTCCAACCCCAACTGCGAACCTAACTGCCTTTCACTCGCTGCGACTCTGCTTATATGGACGCCGACCAAAACCGGGGTGGGCTTGTCGGGGTTTGAGGTTCCTTGATAATTCTAAATCCACAATCCACTTCTTTGTTTTCAGTCAGGAAAATTTATTATTTTCCATTTTTGGAAGTCCTTCCAGATTCTTCCTTTTTCATATGGGTATCTCACCCAATCCCTTCAGGGGGCATCAACAGGTTTCCCCTCTCTCTCACAGTGGCATCTCATACCGATCCCTTCAGGGGGCGTCAACAGGCCTCCCCTCCTTCTTCACATGATTACCTTCGCCTAACGCTCACACCACCATTCAGCCAATGGGCGCTCAGCAGTGTAGGTGTGGCCGGACTAGCCTTGGTTTAAAAATTCTTGCTCAAGGAAAAAAAAAATATCTTCCTTTTTCTTTTTCTTTTCTTTCTTTTTCTTCTCAACAGCAACCCAATACGACCCGTAGTGTGGTCTCTTAATCTCAATTTTATCCTGAATGTCACCTGGGATTCATCACTCAGGACCTTCGCTAAACAAGTGGGTGGTCAATTGGACATACTGCACTACAGCCAATTATTTGTTTTGATAAAATAATTTTCTTATCATAGCCAGCTCCTGACACAAAACAGGTGCCTTTTCCAAATGACATCTCCGTAGATAGCTAATGGGTCAATCTTTTCTTCCTGGTGGTCCAGTGGACATTTTTCCTGTGACCCAGTGCATGACCTAATTAATATTATCTCTCAGTTTCTGTTTCGTAGGCCACCTGACCGACCTGAAACCTTCACCATTGCCATGGGCAGATTGGCTATATCTTATTCGTCATAAATTAAATTAAATCCGACACATCCGCGACCTTACTTTCCTCACTAATGAGAATAAAACCTTTAGCACTTTTCTTTGTTAGAAAAAAAAAAATAACATCGTCTTTTTCTTATCACCTAATTTTAATTCTCGCCTTTTTTTCTTTTCTTTTTTTCATGCAACCCTAAATAGTGTCACAAATGGTTCTTGTGAATAATTTATAGATATTCTTATGTTCATCTTTGACATGTTTCAAGTTGACAACCTAATTTGTGTCAAGCAATGATACAACTTTGGTGGTAAGGTATATACAAGAGTATTAAAAAAAAGTGGACATTTACAGGTTAATAAATACTGACAGACAATGGTAAGAATGAGCAAAAAATTCACATCAGTAACTGTTTATACTGAACTGTGTTTTCTCTGACAAAAGTGAACAGCTGAAATTAGATACATGACTCCTCAAACTAAATGCTTGGGTTTTCTTCTCATTCAGTCAAGTGGGTCTGGTTTGTTGACAGGGCTGTAATGAAGCCTGATTGTGAGAAGATGAAGAGGGACAATGTAATTAATATTCTGAGTAGCACAATCCAAGTTGATTATCTTAGGCAGCCATATTGGTTCAATCTCAGATCAGATTTTCATATGATCCATAAAGTTGGAGATGGATTGCTAAGGGCTTGAAAAACAATAAAAAAAAATATCCTGAAGATAAAGGAGTGAGGCCACTGTCAACTTATACAAATTCAAACTTGTCAGATTCAAAAATCTATTTTAATGTGTACATTATTTTGATGAGAAAAAAGAAAAAAAAATTACTTTTATTCCATATTTTTCAGATGTTCTGTTTGAATTTTTAGAATAATTTAGAATTATTCTTATTTACATGCAGATTATTATCCTCATCTCTTTTTATTATCACAATGTTTTGGCTGTTGCATCTTCTGGCCATCATCAAGTTCTTATCAATCCAGGTAACATGGAATTTTATTTATTCTATGAGGGCAAAGCACTCTCATTCAATTAACCATGTCTACAAATCATATCTCGTCTAGTTCTTATTTAATATTGGTCAGATACTGCTCATCCTGCTTTCATTCAGTCTAAGTTTCACTGCCTGGTCCAGGAATTGAACTCATAATTACTATATCACCAAATTTAAAAAGCCAACACTTTAAACCATGGGGTTATTTTCCTGGAACAATTGCCAGTTCAATCCCTGACTTAAACCAAGTGGAAACAAGGTTAGCAATAACTGAATGGTAATAAATAAAAAGGAAACAAGATATCCCCAATCATGGAGGATGAAATGAAAACAATCTATCTCTGTAGATTAAATGAAAGTTTCATTTTGAAGTTCCCTGTAGATTAATTGGATTGATAAATAAAAGCAAAGACAAGATAAACCTAGACATGGACAACAGAAGGAAAGCAATTTACTCCTGTAGATTAAAGAAATGGCTTCAATTTGAAATTATCAGAATATTTCAGATTTTTCAAATCAGTATCTTTATGTCTATTCACTTTGCACTAAAACTCTTTAGAAAGGAATAAATCCAATTCCTATCCACATATTTGTGACAATCTGTGTTAAGTTATTAAATAGTTGTACATTTACTACCCAGCACAAGTATTAAATTGATACATTATTTACATTATTCGGACTACTGTCCTCATCTTTGTTGCCATATTTATTACAACGTTGTACAGTGAAGGACACATGGCACAGTGGATAAAGTCGTTGGTTAAATCCATTGACAGGACCCAAAGAGTGTGAGTTCAATACCCGGTTAAGGCAGTGGAGAACTTTCAGAGGGAAATTAACAGGAGATAACTGATAACTGACATCCATTAAACATGACATGTGGAACTACCCCAGTGAGCAAAATAAAGGGTTAAGTTCGACATTCCAACCACCTGAAGAAGGCCAGAGTGTACAACGGTCAAAACATTGTAATAAATATGGTGACAAAGATGAGGACGATAGTTCAAATAATGTAAATAGCGTACATAATACCTCATCTCAAAAATATAGACACATATTAAATTGATAGTCTTCAGCTAAAGTGTAAACTTGTGCTTTTACAAGTGGACCTGTTCCACCTGCAGTTGAAATGGGTTCTGTCCATTAAGTTGTATATGGACTTATGGTTTTTCCACCAGGAAATACCTATAAAATCCATTTACCTTTGACTGGTATTTATATTTTGATTTTAACCCAATCTCCAGGGGGGATTAAGCCCAACCAGTACCTCTTCCTTGAGAGGGAGGGGGGCTGGGTTTATTGCCTAGCACCTAGGCATCCCCAAAACAGGAAGTGCTAAAGAGGTTTGGGCATTTTTCCACAGTACTGCTGAGAAACCAACTTTAAACTGACCTTGTGTCACATCTGGTTACATGGTGGGCATGTCAGAAAATACCTGTAAAATCCATTCACTTTTGGCTGGGATTTATATTTTGATTTTAACCCAAGCCCCAGGGAGCTTACACTTTAGACAGTACCTCTCCCTTGGGAGAGGGCTGGGTTTATTGCCTGGTGCATGAAAAGTCCCCAAAAGGGCAAGTGCCGAGGGGACTTAGGAATTTTTGCATATTATTGCCATTAAACCTATTTTAAAGCTTGACCTTGTCTCACATCTGGTTGCAATGTGGGTGTCCTGGTAAATACTATTTGCCTGGTGAAGTTATATCAGATTAGGTCAACAATCTGTGGTATACCACAAGGATTCAGAAAAGATGATAAAATGAGCCCACTCCTAAAAATACGTTTCATATCTTGGCTGTAAAAGAAAAAGCTGTTTCTACTGTAGTCAACCTTGACAGGATTACAATTTAAGTTATTTATGTTTTTTTAAACACTGACTGACATGTTATTTGTTCATTTCTCCCATAATAGTTGTTGCATTTCATCTATGAAATGTGTATATTACATGTAACAATTATTATTGGACAGTGCTTTTTTTGTTCTATGATTGAAAGAAGATGAAAGAAATAATGAAACAAACTTGTAAATTATTCAAGTTTTTAAAAATGTAAAATTTAAAAAAACAAACTCAGAA